ACATGGCATTTTTTCAGATAAATAGCTCTACCTGGTCACGGTCATTGACCAGCCCAGCTCCCCTGCATACAACTGTAAAAGGACAGGAGAAAATGGGACAAGACCATAACGGGATTCAAACCCAGGACCTCCCAGCTGTAGAAGGACAATAGTCAACAGAGCAATGTGGTCACTGGGAATCAACCAGCCCAGTCCTGCTACACCTAATGTGTGAGAGTTAGAACCTGCTTTAAACAAGACTGGAAAACAACATAATATGAGTGATGCATTCCAGATATACACAAGTTTAAAATAACAAAGTTTGTATGCAGATTTTATTCATTTTTCAACAAATGAAATTCCCTAATGAAAACTTAACTGCAATCAAACTGAACTGCTTGGCTTTGATGCACACTAAATTTAACTGAATTATGAGCATGTCCGGAGTATTTTAAGTCAATATGTAAATCTGCTGTCCATTTCACATCAATCAAGCAGCGGCGCTTCTCTTATGAATATCGACTACTGCCGAGTGTAGAAGATAATCAATTATTTTGCCAAATCACGATAGATATCACAAAGTTTATAGGATTTACTGATCTGGAAGTAGTTTCCATAGATGCAATAGATGCATACGTATGAGTCATGAAAACATAGAGTGTATATACTGTTATAATGCATGTATTTAAAACAGTCAACATGACAGAAAGTCCTAAACACTTTGAACAAAATTAAGAAAAGGAAAGCAGATCTGTGCTCATAAACCTATACTAAATACAACACATTTTACCAATACAATCGCTTCTTGACCAAATCAAAAATATTTTTTCCTGTATAAATGTATAGATCTACATGCATAAAACAAAATTAAATAGCAACCAATATAAAATACCTAGAAATGTGGTTGTCTCCCCTTTGACCATAAGCTCTCCCATGGCAAGTATATTATACCAATACACAATAGACATATTGTAAACAATACATGAATGACAGCTGTTGATAATTAGGTGACTAAATTAGTTTTAGTAATGGATGGAATGATACAAATGGAGGTACAATGTAGCTTTCTCTATTTTTTATTCTTTATTTTGCAGAGCAAGGACTTTTCAAAAGGTGCATTTCCGTCTGACCTTTATTTTATATTTACACTTCTATTAATTAATTAGATGCAGATAATCAATACATTTACTAAGGGGTTGTCCAACACCAAAAATGTTGATGCTGGTAGCAAAACCCAATCTACCTACAAAACATATTCAAACACCTTTAAGTGCTCTCATTCTCACGACAAGGACTACTGTGTTGCACAAAGTATGTTAGGTATAATAACAAAACAATTTTTAATATTAAAATAGCCTTGTGTGTATGGGGCTAGAGAAAGCATATGGGACTTGAGCAAGTCTAGGTTATATAAATCCTAAGTGTGTATGGGGCTAAACAAATCTAGGTCATTTAATATACTAAATATCATTCACTGTGTACGGGGCTAGAGCAAGGCTAGGTCATTTAATATACTAAATATCCTTCACTGTGCATGGGGCTAGAGCAAGGCTAGGTCCTTATGTACTGTAAACACTGTTATTTATATAAATCCTAAGTGTGTATGGGGCTAGAACAAGTCTAGGTCATTAATATACTAAATATCCTTCACTGTGTATGGGGCTACAGCAAGGCTAGGTCATTATATACTGTAAACACTGTTATTTATATAAATCCTTAGTGTGTATGGGACTAGAACAAGTCTAGGTCATTATGTACTGTAAACACTGTTATTTATATAAATCCTAAGTGTGTATGGGGCTAGAACAAGTCTAGGTCATTTAATGTACTAAATATCCTTCACTGTGTACGGGGCTAGAGCAAGTCTAGGTCATTATGTACTGTAAACACTATTATTTATATAAATCCTAAGTGTGTATGGGACTAGAACAAACCTAGGTCATTATATACTGTAAACACTGTTATTTATATAAATCCTAAGTGTGTATGGGACTAGAACAAGTCTAGGTCATTATGTACTGTAAACACTGTTACTTATATAAATCCTAAGTGTGTATGGGGCTAGAACGAGTCTAGGTCATTATGTACTGTAAACACTGTTATATATATAAATCCTAAGTGTGTATGGGGCTAGAACAAGTCTAGGTCATTGAATATACTAAATATCCTTCACTGTGTATGGGGCTAGAACAAGTCTAGGTCATTATGTACTGTAAACACTGTTATTTATATAAATCCTAAGTGTGTATGGGGCTAGAACAAGTCTAGGTCATTTAATATACTAAATATTCTTCACTGTGTATGGGGCTAGGGCAAGTCAAGGTCATTATGTACTGTAAACACTGTTATTTATATAAATCCTAAGTGTGTATGGGGCTAGAACAAGTCTAGGTCATTTAATATACTAAATATCCTTCACTGTGTACGGGGCTAGGGCAAGTCTAGGTCATTATGTACTGTAAACACTGTTATGTATCTAGAGGCGGGGACTTACTAGTATACTAATTTTAATAGAACACTAGATCTCAAGCAGTGAAGTATTTTTGGCAAATTTGAGAAACCTGATCCAGTCTAGAAATAGATAGTGCCAGCATCTAAACATAAACTCAATGGAAAGATAAAAACATCATTTATCTTTACTGTAAAAAATACACTTGTTATGAATGAAATCAGCTAATATTTACACCAGATTTATCACAGACTAAAAAAATAAAGACACATTTGTGTTAAGTGTTTTATAATCAGTAACCATCCCGACAAAGCACTAAAGTATGGTTAGTTTATAAACCTGTTAACTCAAATTCTTCAACTGAGATTTTGAAGAATTGTATAATCAAATATACTTTCTTTTCCTGAATAATTCATCTCAAGAATCTGATTTTGAATATTTTATAATTCTTCAACTTAGATTTTACAGAATTATATAATTATATATACTTTTTCATGAATCTTCATCTGCAGAATCTTAATTAAAATTATTTGCATAACAGACTCTGTAACCTAGATACCTAGGACTTTTACTTGATTAATACATTCACCCTTAGTTGACACTTTAAATGTAACCAACACATTGACCAGAACAGTAGATACATAGGACGGGTCTGACATTATTGTACTGTATTAAAATAGACTCTATAACCTACAAATTGACCTTGAGGTCCAGGACAGTACAGGCCTGACATTGTTGTGGTTACACAGGATCTATGTGAACTTTTTCTGGTTAACATTGTAGGCCTTCCGTGGTCACACATGACAGATCTCCTTCCTTTTGTCGTCATAATAACCAAATCATCGAATTGCAGACTACCGTTAGGAACAGCCATTCAATTAATGTGGTGAAATTTATTACATTTTTTGGAGTCAACTGGTGCATTTTGATGACCAATAACGTCAATATGATCATCATTCATATCATTAAATACTCATTAAGACCTATTAGTCCTATTTAATGGTTAGTTAATGGGTTAATGGATTAATGGTGGTAGATTTGGTACATAATTATATCTATCTCCAGAGTCTGGTATTCTAGTCCACCTCTATTGACACCACTGTACCCAGTACATTGTGTTATTAACACCATATTAAATATATACCTCATTGTTTTATACAAATATCCCATTATATTGTTCCCTGACAAATGATATAACCACCAAATATCATGTTAGATATACAGGTAAAATAAATTGTATCTGATAAACATCACACACTGCAAAATTAACTCATTCACCCCTGAAATTTCATAATAAGCTATTCCATCCTTTGAATTGGAAGGGTTCAAATGTGTCTTCAGGAATGAATGAGTTAAATCTTATAAACTCAATTGGTTAAACACTCAGCTTCCCTTTTCCCATAGTGTGATCCAAAGCAGTAAATATAAAGGCATGGGCCGTGAATATAAAAGCATGTGTTACCAGGCTGATAACTCCAACTGACTATAAGCTAAACGTGTGGACAGACAACAGTTGGAACTAATATCATTAGTTTAGTGACTTAACAGTAAGGAGTAGAAAGTTTGTGTCTACCGAGGAACTAGTTTGTCAGAAGTGTACGGTTAAGGTTAGAATAACTGTTAGAGTAGTGAGGACCTTTACCAGAAAGTAATGAGGTTATTGACACAGCTACTGTGTGCTATACCTGAACTGTTAGAGTAGTGAGGACCTTTACCAGAAAGTGATGAGGTTATTGACACAGCTACTGTGTGCTATATCTGAACTGTTAGAGTAGTGAGGACCTTTACCAGAAAGTGATGAGGTTATTGACACAGCTACTGTGTGCTATATCTGAACTGTTAGAGTAGTGAGGACCTTTACCAGAAAGTGATGAGGTTATTGACACAGCTACTGTGTGCTATATCTGAACTGTTAGAGTAGTGAGGACCTTTACCAGAAAGTGATGAGGTTATTGACACAGCTACTGTGTGCTATATCTGAACTGTTAGAGTAGTGAGGACCTTTACCAGAAAGCGATAAGGTTATTGACACAGCTACTGTGTGCTATACCTGAACAGTTAGAGCAGTGAGGACCTTTACCAGAAAGTGATGAGGTTATTGACACAGCTACTGTGTGCTATACCTGAACGGGTAGAGCAGTGAGGACCTTTACCAGAAAGAGATGAGGTTATTGACACAGCTACTGTGTGCTATACCTGAACGGGTAGAGCAGTGAGGACCTTTACCAGAAAGAGATGAGGTTATTGACACAGCTACTGTGTGCTATACCTGAACAGTTAGAGCAGTGAGGCCCTTTACCAGAAAGTGATGAGGTTATTGACACAGCTACGGTGTGCTATACCTGAACTGTTAGAGTAGTAAGTACCTTTCCCAGAAAGCGATAAGGTTATTGACACAGCTACTGTGCGCTATACCTGAACTGTTAGAGTAGTGAGGACCTTTACCAGAAAGCGATGAGGATATTGACACAGCTACTGTGTGCTATACCTGAACTGTTAGAGTAGTAAGTACCTTTACCAGAAAGCGATAAGGTTATTGACACAGCTACTGTGCGCTATACCTGAACATTACCTGGTTGATTAGACCTGATCTGGTTCCCTGGCTGACATGCTGTAACAGACACCAAGCATTAGACAAATCATCTTCAGATTCACTCAATTATCATAGCTTTATAAAGTAAGTAACCAATAAGGGACATTTAAACTTGGTTTCTGTACCATGGTACATCTCCATATATATATGGTACTCCTCTGAAGAAATAATGTCCAGAAATGCGTAAACCTTTTTACACAAGATATCTTACCAGCCCCCAAGTGGTATACCTAGATAGGCACAAGTACCCAAGGTCACACTAAACAGTGTGTTACTTAAACAGGCCACAAGTCCCCAAGGTCACAGTGAACAGTGTTGTACTTAAACAGACCACAAGTCCCCAAGGTCACACTAAACAGTGTTGTACTTAAACAGGCCACAAGTCCCCAAGGTCACACTAAACAGTGTTTTACTAAACAGGCCACAAGTCCCCAAGGTCACACTGAACAGTGTTTTACTAAACAGGCCACAAGTCCCCAAGGTCACACTGAACAGTGTTTTACTTAAACAGGCCACAAGTCCCCAAGGTCACACTAAACAGTGTTTTACTTAAACAGGCCACAAGTCCCCAAGGTCACACTGAACAGTGTTGTAATTAAACAGGCCACAAGTCCCAAAGGTCACACTGAACAGTGTTGTACTTAAACAGGCCACAAGTCCCCAAGGTCACACTGAACAGTGTTTTACTTTAACAGACCACAACTCCCCAAAGTCACACTGAACAGTGTTTTACTAAACAGGCCACAAGTCCCCAAGGTCACACTAAACAGTGTTGTACTTAACCAGGCAAATGGTTCTTAAAGTCACAATGAACAGCATTTCAGTCATACTTAACAGTGTTTTGCTTAAACAGGCTACCAATTCCCAGGTTAGTGTTTCATCCAGACAGACCACTTTTCCCCACCTAAGGATAAACTATGCTTCACCTAGCCATTCCACCAGTGCCCAACATCAGGGAAAAAAGCGTTTCATCTATAGAGGCACTTCAGTCCCCTAGGTCAGATTGAAGATTGTTTCAATTAGACAGGATACTTATCGTCAACATCAGGATGAACAATGCTTCACCCAATCTATTACAAATACTGTTACTTTGTGAGTTCAATACAGCTAGGCCCTAATTCTCACATTGGAGTTTAAAGCCCCATTTACATTAATGATAGATTAGTCTATCCTCCTCCAGACCTTCCGTTAGACTAAACAATGATAGTGCCAGTATGATAACTTTGTCAGACCTCTAATATTGTCTAACAATAAAATGGCACGTCCAATCAATGACAAGCACTCAATGCCAATAATTTCCCTCTCCTTTTCAAGCCCCAGACGATATTTACAAACATGCTAACAGTTACCGCAGTAGTATTTTGTCTGGTCGCAATGGTTTTACCAATAATCCAGGATCCAGACATATCTTTATAGATCCTTGTGTATCATCGGGGATATGTACACCTATAAAATAATGTCTTCTCATTGTGTGTTATTGAGTGTCAAACAATTCCCACTTTGTTTTACACTTAAGTCAAACATAAATAGTTTACTCTTTGACAACGTTCATTTGTTTGCACTTGTAATCATGTTAACCTTTTTTAACCCTTTCACCCCTAGGTAACTTGAGTAGACTCTACCATGCATACATTCATCTGGATGAGTCCATTATGGCCTAAAGTGGTCAAATGGTTAAAGAAGATGTCTTGTCAAAGAGTATTTCATGAAATTTATCCAAATTACTGAAGAAAACCATATTTTCTTATTAACTAAGACCACATTCCATAATTCTAATAATCTTACTTCACCTCTAATGTTTCCTATTGAAAACTTACATCTAGATCTTTTACACTTGAATTTGTTTCAAGCTTACTGGATCAAATTTTCAAGGATAGATATATGTATTTGATTTTCTATTTACATATTACATGTTCAACACCCATAAGGCACAGCTCATTTTTATCTGTTAAAAGATGACTATAATTGTTTTTGATTTAACGTCCTAGTGACTTGTAACTTCTGTACTGTAGCCACCACTGGTTACAAGCTGTAAAATCCAAATTCTGTACGAAATGATAAGCCCAAGGTCAGCGTCATTCTGTCTCCGCAGCCGTAGAATTAAAGGCCGTGGGCCAAGTTTTCTGACGTTTATTCCACAAGTTTTGTTAACCTCCTCATATAACAAGGGCAATTGGAACATTGAACTTGAAACATTTTACAAATGTTTTACCAAACTATTTTTTTATTTTCATTTTTCATTTTCACACATGAAAGTATAAATTACATGTTACACAACATTATTAGAATTTTGAAAATGGAAAAAAGTCCTACAGCGTAAGCTCTTTTTGGTTTTCAGATGTTCATTAATCCAGATAAATTTCCCTCGCATTTAGATAATTAATTCACCCTATCCTCCAGTCTTTATTTCCAATCCATTAAGATTATTTTTGAATCCCTTGTTATCTTATTAAGTAGTGGCAAACTGATAAAGAAGGCCAGGCAATTAAAACGCACTGACTGCACAAACTGATACAGAAGGCCAGGCCATCAAAACGCATATCTGCACTGAGTTCGATAAAAACAGAAGCTGCATACAACTCGGTATCATACACCACTCAAAGAAATACGAGACACATATTATCGCCAATGTTTTATTTTCACCATCGTTTTTTTAAGATTTCTTTTTCCATGTGCAGGCTTACAGATGTTTTGAAATTAGAACACACATGCTAGAGACTGTATCCCTGCCAAAGGACCATTAATGTTTTTTAGGCAGTGATATATGATAGCTGTAAAACAGTTTAGACTACCAAAGTGCAGATTTACAATTTTATACGTAAATGAAATGAAACATCACACATGTTGTTTTTAACAACACTATATGTGTTAACCAGGAGAATATACAACTCTAGAAATTTAAAAGGTCTCCTATATTTTCCGCTTTTTAACAAATGTTAGATAATTCAAGCTTATTTTTTGTCTAGTCTGTTTTGATATGGTGTAAAGAGACAGCACACCATTCTTTACATCAACAAGCAAGGAAAAAGAATCTTGTTTATATATATATTACCAGCACAGGTTTTTTTCCTGAGATGTAATCATTAAATGCTTTATTTTTTTATTTTTCTGTAACCTTCAACTGTTGAGAAATAAAAATATTTAATTTGCTTTATTTTTTTATTTTTCTGTAACCTTCAACTATTGAGAAATAAAAACTTTTTTTTTCTGATAGCCTCTTCCTCCTCTTGCAGCTAAAGCTTTGCTACTGAGTTGAGTATGAGAGGACCAAATGAGCATATTTATACTCGATAAAAAAGTAAGGTAAACACTATAAACACTATGGGTAAATAAATCATTCTTACTGCAACTGTGTCCAACTGATCACTTTATTCCCTGAAGATTTTTTCATTACTTAATTAATGTGTCATAAATCACGAAAAAATCTCATGATAAATTGCTTTTTTAAGATGTAAGCACATCTCAAGTTAAGTTTTGTAAGTAACATGTTTAATTCTGTGTGAGGGCCACGGTGGCCAAGTGGATAAGGCGTCTGTCATTCTGCTACCACTAGCCCTCCACCACTGGGTCACGGGTTCGAGACCTACGTGGGGCAGTCGCCTGGTAGGTCGGTGGGGTTTTACGGGAACTCCGGCTTTCCTCCACCACAAAAAGCTGGCACATTCTTAAAATGATAGGGCATAAAACACAAACAAACAAATAATTCTGTGTATATGACCACCAATTCACTAGTGTGTAGAAACACTGTGTCATCATCAATGCAATGAACTTGTCAAATGACAGGTAGCCTGAGGGTTGATGTTGTCCCAGTCATCAGCCAACCTTTGGGCTAGCTCCAAGTAAGATGCCTGATTTTGACATTGCCTTATGCAAGAAAATTCCAATGTGCTATCTTGGCGAATTGTTGGGCTGTTTATACGGCTGCTCCAACACTTGAACATTGTTTTGCTGCAGAAAAGTTCTATATGAGCTAGCAAATTAATTCTCTTGTTGAAAAATAGTGCCAGCATGACACTGTGAAAAATGTGACTACCTCAGAACAGTTCAATTTTCGATAACACACTGCATTCAAACTCCTTTACACTAACTAAAGCAAGCTTGGTATTAAAGTTACAACCACAAATACCTCCCAAGACCATTACACTATATCACCACCAAAACAGTCCTGTTCAAGGATGCAAAAGAAAATCAGAAAAAAATGAAAAACTGTTCATTGCCTCAGATACATTAGTCAAGAAGTAATTTCATTCCTAGATAACCTGATTATTATTTAAATCAACCGGGTATGAATATTTGTAGAAATTACTTTTATGACCTTAAATCTGATCAGTAGATTTTTTCTTCGTATGACAGGTCCTATACCCACGACTTTATTCTACCCATACCAAACTCTTCAATCGACCTGCGAGTTATCTCCCTTTTCAGACCCTTATTCATTAACAGCCTTGAATGATCATCTCCAAATTCTAAATGAAAATCAGTTAAACAGGGTAGTAATCTTATACCCCCACTTCGACAAAGTTTGGCGAACATCTATGTAAGCTTAATTACATGTGCTGACTGTGGTTTCCAAAGCATATCTCAGCCACTTTCTAATGAATGGGCATCAAACTTTGTATATAGGTATATACACATACATCACAGGAAGGCAGAATGTGACATCAAAACAGAGGTGACTGTGACCTCAATTTTTACCTTTTACCTTGAACTCAAGTACTCATATAATCATTTCCTGAGCATATTTCTGCTGTTTCATGAATAGGAACCAAACTTTGTATTTTAAAGGCATGTCATGGGAAGGCTGTGTGTCATATCATCTCAATATGACCGTTGACCTTGACCTCAAGTATCGAAACAAGTGTAATTCAGGTTTCTGCAGATTATCTCAGACACCATGTAATGAATGGGCTCAAAACTTTGTAGATATGTGGGGAGTGTCAGGGTATCTATGAAGCCCACACTTGGAGTTAAATCTAGTTTAACTACAGATTTAAAGGAATATGTACTTCATATAGAAG